CAACAGACTGCAAATTAGCAAAAACTGCTGAAGGCTGGAATCTGAATAGCAACGTACTCAGGTCAAGCAGGCACTTACAGGCTACAAGTATATGACTATGGTACTCACTGCAGTGCACAATTCCAAACTAAGCAAGAACTACTTATACATATCTTTTCTTCAACTCCAGCAGGGAAACCTTATCCTTCAAACAATGCCAGCCCCACAAAATCTCCCCTGCCAGTGTAGAAGAGCTGCCTAAGGAATTGCCCCAACTCTCCTCACCCATGAAGCCCGCAGGGTAGGTGATGTCGGTGCGGACTTTGCCATCTATTTTGATGAACCTCTGCATGCAGATCTTCTTGACCTCATCTCCCGTCAGAGCGTACTTCAGCCGGTTGCGCAGGAAGATGATAAGGGGAAGGCACTCCCTCAGTTTGTGCGGGCCCGTTGATGGGCGGGGTGCCTGCCGACAGAAAGTTTCTGCTGGAGGCTCAAGCAGCATCAACCACCCCAGAGAAGGAAACCATAGAGCCAAGAACTCCCGCAAGAGCACGGAAGGGCAGCGGCCCGAAGTGCAGCTGCCACGCAGGCAGCGACCGGCTGAAGCTCTCTGTTCTTGGTATTCACAGTAGTTCCCCCCATGTCTTGCCTCACAGGGCACAGCCCTCAACAGAGCACAGCCATCCATCTCAACCCGGAGGTAGAAAAGCACAACAGGCAGATTAGAAGAGAACATCCAACGATCCCATCACATCCTGTACGAACAGGGGAACATGAACGCTGTTCACAAAGACCCTAACGTTAAACAAACACCTCCTGCCGTGTCAAATTGCCCCTGCTCACCGCTCGCTCCCGCGCAGCACCCGAACACTTCCTCTGATGTGACTGCGGCTGCCACGACCCCGGGCCCCACCTCCGACTCCAGTCTCAACCCCAAAACCACACCCGACCGCAGCTTTAACCCCAAACCAGGCCCGCACTCACGAAGACGCCCGTCAGCTTGTCCAGCATCCAGTGCTTGGGTGCAGCCACGCGCTTCAGATGCTTCTTGGGGCCGCGGGCCTACAGGATGGGACATTTTAAAGGATGTATTACGGCCCCCCCCAGCCATCCCTCCCCGGCTCCCTCCGACTCCCGTCCCCCGGACCCAAGCGCCGGGCTCCCTCCCGCGCTTGTCGCCCAGGGGGGGTGGCCACAGCCCGTGGCGAGCGGGGGATGGCGGCGGATGGCGGCGGGGAACCGCGCCACCGCGCTCTCACCATGGCTGCGCTCGCCGAGAAAGGGCGGGTGCTTCCGGTCCGCCGCGGAAGTAGAAATTATGGCGGCCGCGACATGCGTCGCCCCCTGGTGGCTCGGAGGTCCAGGGCCGCTCGCGAGGTGACCGACAGACGGGGAGGGCTTGTCCCTTCCCGACGGGGACACCCCGCTCCAGGACACCGCTCTCCGGGACTCCCTGCTCCCAGCCCGGGCGCTGTGGTCATCGCTGATGGCATGGGACAGCCCGCTAAGTTCTGGCCCTGCGGCTTGGGAGAGCCGAGCCAGGGGAAACACCTGTGCCGGGACCTCTGCCTGCCCACAGCTGCCCTCCCATACCTGTGTCTTCCCCCTGCCACGGCTCCTCCCGGCGTAGAGCTGGGACCCCACGCAGCCCCCAGGCTTGATGCCGGGCCTTAGCGCCCACTCCTGAAGGCAGTTCGGGGATCAAGTGGCCCCAGCTGCCCTCCCCAGGGCGGCAGACGTGTCCCCACAGTGCTCCGGAGCGTGGGGACAGTGCCAGGCTCCCGCATCCTGCCAGGCAGCCCCGTGAGTGCAACAGCCCCGCATCTAGCACGTCCCCACAGCATCGCTCCCGCAGCAGGGCCTGCCTGGGACAGAGGTCCCATTCCCCACGGTGACTCTTTTACCGAAAAAGTCGCGATAAATTAAACTCTACGTTTAAATAAGAGAGCAGCATTACTTTTTTCACAGTGCTGGGTGCATAGGAGGAGCTTCACCTATGATACATGCACACTTCCAAAACTTTTCATTATTTATACACTTTAGTAAAGCAATTAATGTTCATTGGCTATAAAATACATAGCTCTCTTCATTAATTAGTATTTTATCTTCTACTGGTTATAGATTTCTTGCTTCTCATGCTCATTAGCCTACATTTACAGTCTTGTTAGGATCTGTGAAAAATCTGTTCACCAGCAACCCTTTTGGAATATACCCTTCATGGAGGCCCTGGCATTGTGCTAGGGTCAAACCATGACATCCTGTAAAAATTTTAAAATTTAATAAAGGACAATAAGAGACAAGGACCACAGAGGAAAGGTTATTTCAGTCGGGTGCATCTGGCACTCAGAGACCATACCGTTATCTTCGGGGATACCCCTTAAATACTTTTTCCATTACATCAGCCTGTTGCATATTCATAGCCCCTTATGCATAGTAAACTTTCCCCCAAACTAGTTTACACGTTCCAAGAAGCATTTAGCATGGCTCTTCCTTGTGTCCACCATTTTAGAGCATGCAGATTCCTTGTGGTTGTAGTCCATTCTTATCATCTCCTGCTTTTGGGCCTTGATCCACACTGCCTTCAGACGATGAGTGCTGATAGTTGGCATATCTGTAGCAGGTGTCCTCATCCTGTGTTCATTGGATGTTGTCCCATCCAAGCAGGCATTTTAACACAAGCATAGCTATTTCACTACTATATCTAAGCTTAATTAACAGAAATAAAAACAATACCTTTATAACAAAGTTACTTTAACATCACACATATAAATCCATTTTAATATTTGTGAAAAGCCAATATTATAATATGTATCTATCATATTACCTTATTATCTTTTCCCCAGATAAGACAATTGCTGAATTGTCTTTGTTTGTTTCTCTGTCTCTGGGTTCTGCAAAATGTTCTTCCAGACTATAAATTCTGCATTCTCTGGGTCCAGTTTCAGCACTATGTCTCTCCCATGCTTAGTCAAATGAAGTGTATCAAGGTTGGTTTAGCAAAACTTAAAAATTTTAGTAATTTTCCTGACCTGTGTTCCCACAATAGCAGTTTATAACAAACCTTTGCTAAGTGCTTGGCTACTTTGGTGGAAAATTACACTGTTCATGACTGATTAAAACAATTAGAAATTTTAACTAGAGAAGTTACTAGGAAAGTTGTGTAATTTTCAACAACAGGATGGGAACATCATAAGCCGAGAAGACACATTGGAGCTGTGGGGAGCCCACCCTCCTTCCATCAAGGGCTGCTTCACACAGTGTCCTTCGCCAAAGGGCACAGCCGTCGAAACAACGATCCTTCCGGATTTTATTGCACGGCAGCTTGAGACCCTGGCCTGCCGGGCCCACCGCGAGGCCGGCGCGTTTTGGGGCGGCAGCGCGGCCCCAGCTCCCCCTGCCGCCCTTCCCACACGGCCGGCTCCCGCAGCGCCGGGCCGGGGCGGCCGGCACGCTGCTCACTGCCGGAGGGTAGGAGGCCGCCGCCCCCGCCGCCAGGCGAGCTCGTGGTGTCCTAGCCAGAGCTCCGGCAGCTCGTCCGCCCTGTTGAGGTCAAGCTCCACCACCAGCCATCTGAGCACCTTTGTCCACCGGGTCCGAGTCGCTGAGGCCGGGGCCTGCGGCCTGGAAGGGACGGCTCCCCGCGCCCCGCGCCCCGCGTCCCCAAGCCCCAGGCAAGCGGCGAGCCGGGCTCCAGGGTCTCGCCCGGGAGCGGTTCTGGACGTGGAACTTCTGCGGGCACAAGATGGCCCACAAGGACGTTGGGACCCGCCGTGGGGGGCCACAGGGGCGGGGAGCAGGCGGAGTCCCTACCGCCGGTATCTCCTCGGCCCCGAAAGGGTAGCAGTGCAGGATCGCTACCACGAGAGGTCCTTCGTGCCTCGGGGAGGGGACTGCAAACAGCTCATCTCCGGCATCTACGAGGACACTGCAGCACTCAGAGGGGCGCGGGCTGCCCGGGTGGGTCGGGTTCAGCGACGTAGCCAGACGGAGAGGGATTGGAACGACGCTCCGGCTTACCCCGGCTTACATGCCCCTTGCGCGGCGGCAAGACGGGCCACTCTGAATGGGGGACGTGGGGATTTCCACCCAAGAGGCACCTCACCCAAAAGCCACAACCCCTGACATTTGTGGGGTTTCCTATTGTTTATTTTCCCAACTGTGCTCCTGAAACAGCTCTCACAAGGGCAGTCTACCAGCTGTGGGGACAGAGAACATGGGGCCCTGAGGTGGGTCAGAAGCAGCAGTTGGACAGCTTCTCTGTTCCCTCGTTCCTCACATTCTTCCCTGGATGGGCAGTCCTGAAGTCTGACATCTCCCCAGGGCACTGGGATCCTTTGCTAGGGCAATGGCAGCACCAGCCTCCTGCCAGTGGTCACCACACAAGACTGGTCTCATCACAGCACACCACACCAGGTGCCAGGGGTACATGGAAGCAGGCAAGGGGTCAGGAGTCATGGAGCCAGATCCTGCTGACCTGTCTCCATATCAGATTTCCTGTTGTTTCAATCAACAGTAAAAACAGAGCAGAAAACAAAGCCAAGGCCAGGCTGGGAACCCCTTTGTCTTGCTGTTTCTTCCAGCATAATCTAATTAAAGCCACAGGAAATACGCTTTCCTACAGTGACTGGGCATCCTTAAAAAAACAGCACAATAAAAAGTCCATGGGCTAGGAGAATAAGGGGACAAGGGTGGCAGAGGCCATGCTCCATGGCTCCTGGCACTGGGAGAGATCTGCTCCAGATACCTCTATACCTGTTCCCGTGCTGAGACACCTCGTGGCAGCTCTCATGAGGCACCAGAGCATCTGCAAGTTCATCCAAGATCTCCCAGAAGAGGAGCTGCCACAATGCCCTGCATCACCCTTGACATTCTTGAGAGGCTCTCCAGGGTCTTGTCCCTCTGTGCAGGACTTCAGGAGCTCACAAATGGCTCTGCAGTAGGTGGAGGGGCTGGGGTGTACTGTGGAAAAGAGCACTAGCAAGACAGGGTGGGTAGAAGAAGAAAGGAAAGGGCTAGAGGAGTACTTCAAGTATTTTATTTTTTAAAAATTCCCCGTTAAAAACACAATGGCTGTGCCTTTCTGTGGGCAAGGGACACAACCAGGGTAGCCCACAGGCTCTACTTCCTGAGTGGGCAGCTCTGAGGCTGTGGCCCTGCTGGGTAGCTAACACAGCACGGGGCTCCAGCTGGAGAAGGCTCACAGCTCTGAGCTGCTCCTCTCTTAAAATACATTTAAAAGCAGTTGTGAGAACAAACTGTGGTGTTAAAATAGGAAGGGGAAAGGAGCAAGGGAGGCTCTGCCAGCACTGGAAGGCTGTGGCTGGAGGGCCCACACTCCTGCCTGGGGGAGCCACAGTGCTTGTGGCATGCGGTAGCTTTCCTTCTTTAAAGAGAAAAAAAAAACCAACCAACAGTACTTTCTTCGAAAGTTTCCCTGCAGCCACAAATTTCACCAGTTGTTCACATAAATATGCTGTCTTCCCCACAGGAAATGCTCTTGCCTAAGCCTTCCTTTTCTGCTACACAACGTGCTTCAGATTTCCTGCAAATAAAAGGAAGTAAAAAAGGGTATTTCCACTGATATTTTAGCCTGATGGAGTGACCTGGCAAGGGGTGCCACTCCCACGCCTGATGGACTAGACCATGATATAGGAATTCCAGCCTCATCACAGATCTCAGGTCCTGCTGACCCCTTGTTCCCTTTGCAGAGGCTGCTGCCCTCATTTGAGCCAGGCTTTGGAAATTACCACAAAGGGACCCTGCCAACGCTTTCACTATTCTGAATGCTGTTTTGGGACTCATGGACCAGCATCTGAGACACACGTGCTCACTCCCTGCTGCCTCGTCCTTCTTTCAGACTGGATTCACAGACAGGAGTGCACAGCCCTCCCTTCCAGCTCTGGAGTGATGCTGTTCCTCCTACCCTCTTGGACATGTCCCCAAGGAAGGGATGCCCTCTCCCTAGGATTGGCCTGTGCTTGGGAATGGACACCCAAAGGCATCCATGGTCACGACTTCCTACCCTACTTCTAACACCAGCATACTACAACACACACATATAAAAAAGGCTGCCAAGCCCCATCATGCTGTTCTGAGCCCCTCTTGCAGAGTGGGACAAGACAGATGGGTAACGGCACTGAATGAGTTTCAATACTGGAGCTGGCAGAGCTCACCCAGCTGCCTGTCCTGGACTTGAAGAGTTTCAAGTCCTGCCTCCTGGAGACCTGTCCCAGTTCCAGAGAGCTATTTCCCACAGCCTCCTCCTGGACCAACTGGAAGACACAGACTGGATGGGTGGTCTGCAAAGGGGACAGGGAGGGAGCTGGCTCACAAGGAGCTCACAGTGGGTAGTGATCCATGGTTTTTACAAGGTCTTGCAGTCTGTTACAAGTGGGGTCCCCCAGGGACTGATACCGATACATATTGCTCAACATTGTAAATTACCTTTGTTGGAAACAACCACAGCACCAAACTGGGTGCTGAGATGAACAGGCCAGAAGGAAGAGCTATTTTAGAGATCTGGACAGGCTGGAAGACTGGGCTAAAAATAACAGATTTAAATTTAACAAAGACAAAAGCAAGGTCCTGCACTTGAGGTAGCCAGTTCAGGCTGGGATTTGTGTGACTGGGAAGCAGCTTTGTGGAAATGGATGTGGGGCTCCTGATCAGCAGCAAGCTGAATGGGATCCAAGCAATGTGCTGCTGCAGCAGTGAAGCAAAGTGGATCCTGTGCAGCATGTGTAGGAGCATTACTAAGAAAAACTGGATCATCTCATTCCAGGTCTGTCTGACAAATGTACTCATTTGTCAACTGTGTCCAGTTATGATCCCCACAAATCACAAAAGACATGGACAGAGCAGAGAAGGTCCAAAGGAGGATCACAAAGGTGATCAGATTCTGGAGAACCTGCCACTCTCTCCCTGCAGAAGAGAAGACTTAGGAGGGACCTCATCACAGTAATCTAGTACTTGAAGCCTGCTCTGTAGGCTTCAGAGGACAGAGGCTCTCTCTTCACAAGGAGCCGCAGGGAGAGGACAAGGGACAACAGGTGTGAGTTGCACCAGGAGAGGTTTCACCTTATTTTAAGTATGTTTTTTTATACAGTGAGAACAATCAATCACTGGAGGAAACTCCCCAGGGGGGGAGTAGCAGCCTCACTGCCAGAAGTTTACAGCATGTGACTTGCTACATAATCTTGTCTGTGCTCCCTTTTCCATGAAGAGGTTGGACCAGATGATCTTTAAAGTCCCTTAGAACCTGGGCTGTTCTACGATTCCAAAAAGGGCAAGGCCCCGTGCTCCCTGTCCAGTCAGAGCAAAGGCAATAGAAACTTTTGCTACAGGAACCCACAGCTCTGTATCACCAACCCTGAAAATCCCAAGGGATGTGGGAGGCAAATGACATTGTGTACTAATGAGCAGCCGGGTGAATGTGGTTCATTTTCCAGTCAGTCAGAAAGACCCAGTGAGCTCTTCTGAAGCCCTCTCTAAAAAATCCTGTAAGCCTGAAGCAGAAGCTTTTGCTTGGACAACGCACCTTTGATAGAGTTCAGAATTTCTTGAATTCTCTGTGGCTCATTGCGGTCTGGTCTGCAGCTTGGTGTGATCTCCAGCACGTAATCAGGACCATACTCTGTGAAGAACTGCAGGGAGGAGAAGAGGAAAATCAACAGAGAGGTCTCTGAAGGCTGAGGCTAGAGAGAGGGCTCCCCATGGGTACCTGTTTGTAAAAAGACAAAAAAACCATTTCTCTACCTAAGGGCCACACGTAGCTTCACTACATCAAGGTGGTACTTCAGCAGTGTCTGTGTCCACCTGGAGTTTTCAACCACTTCCCAGTTCACGGAATGGGAAGCAGAGCCCAGTGAGGCAACCAAAAAGCAGTCAAATGTCTATCCCAATCCTTTATTTGGGAAAGCTGTTGACACTCATTTTACGCATGGTTACCTGCAAATGAAATTTTTTTATTATTAAATTTCAAGTGCTGTAATCACATATCCTCCTGTTCACTTCCCATCTTGCTGAACGCTGCATTGACATGACTGAAACACCTGGGAAAGGAAAAATCAGTGTGCTGCAAGGATACCATGTCTCTCCTAGCTAAGCGCTCAGATAGTGTGCAGGAAATCTGCAGCACATGGGGTTGACATGCTAACACAGAAACACAGAACCACAGGTTACTGTGAGCCATTGTGTCGTGATTCTGGCCAAGACAGGGTCAGTTTTTAGAGTAGCTGGGAGGAGGCATGGCCAGAACACAGAGGTTATTCTACACCACCTCTCATTGCTGAAGGCAGGAGAAAGGGACTCTCCCAGACAGAAGGGATTCCTTCCAGCTGAAATAATGTGGCAGAGGGAGGTATGCAGTTTTGTCTATTGTCAGGGGCAAGGGTGTTTCTATGTGAATTGTTGTTTGTTTTCTTGTTCCCTGTCATTAGTATTATTGCTGTTACTGTTTAGTAAATTGTTCATGCTCTTAGGAAGAGCACAAAATTGGAAAATACCATTCCTAAGACAACCTTAACTGGTGCCCAGTATGGGCACAAAGGGTTGAGGCAACAAGACATCAGCCCAGAGTGGGCTGGAAACAAATTGAATTCTAAGCATTTGTTCATATTAGGTACAGAACCACTGGTCACAATGCTGCTTGTGGTCACGGTGCTGCTCGGTCTGTTTATGTGGGTGTGGTACTTATGTGTGAGAATATATGTGTTCCTTGTGATGATATTTTTCAGAGCACGAAGGGGGATCAGGATTGTTTTGATGCTGTACTCTGTGATATCAATTTATGAAATGATAGCAATGGCAATGAGGGTCACTTGGGATGTGTATTCAGTGTTCCTCTCCTACCCTTACCTCGGGCGCTATCTTTGTTAGTCCATTAATAATAGTACTCAGCCTGAGGGGGAAACAGGAGAGGATTATTTTCCCCAGCTTGTCACCCCCTCTTTCTCCTTCAGGCCTGTTACAACAGCTTTCGAGAATTTTGAATTCCCTTTGGAAGTTACAGAAAGCATGTTCTGGTTGCTGTGTCTCATATGTGTGTTTCCTCAGTACAGCTGGTAACATATTTAGAGTCAGTGGAGTCCACACCATGTTTAGAGTCAGGACAGAGATTTATAGGAAGGTCATTTAGAGATCTGCCCCAAGGGTGGATAGTCATGAGGGGCATAGGAAGTGGGAGAAAATGGACAAGTTTCTGAGGAAATTCTCTGCTCCGGTGGTTTGGAAGTTCATCCCTGTACAACTACAGGACCCTGATATAGTGACAGAATATTTGCAAGGTGGGTTCTGTGTCAACTCCAGAGAGGAGCAACTTACTGGCATGTGCTGGGCCCTGGCTACTCTTTACCAGACACTGCTGATCACCAGACAGAACCCTCAGAGGGAGGAGGAGGAAAGCAGAGCAATAGGCACTGTGGTCACTCAAAACTTCAGCTGAAAAAAAAAAAATTAAAGCCCTGAGAAGGCAAAAGGCACATCCTAAAGACCTCTTTGAGAAAACCACAGAATCCTTTTGCCCATCCTCTCTGTTAGATTATCTGAGGCTGAAGTTTACTGGCACATGAAACCCCTCACAGAAAGCTGCAGACAGCCTCTGTTTTTGGGCATAAGCACCCACCATACTGCTAGGTTAGGGCAGCATTGCTACATAAGTGTCTTCACAAAACATGACTGAGTGGCAAGGATGCTGTGTGGATTAGGCAGAACAACTGGCTCTTCTGCAAGGAGAAGGGAGGGTTTTTCAAAGCATTACCTCATGATCAGGGATCTCTGAGTTCAGTGTTCTCCCAAGGATGACCCCAGTCAAGTACGTCCAGCAGCGAGCAGTGTTGGCAAGGTTGTAACCTCCTGTTTCCAGCAAGAATTGGGATTTGAGGAGGAAGAGTGGGGAAAGGCAAAAGAGAAAAAGAGATTTAGGTGGAAGGAACAAATCATGAAACCACTGTGCACAGGTTACATCAGTTCAGCTTATTTCATCCACTCAAGCCATGCCCAAAATCTGCCTTCTGCACCTGCTGGCTACACAAAGCCTAGTCTGAATGACAGTGTATGCAAGAGCAGACCACTCAAACTGAACCCCAGTTACATCCAGTGGCAGAGGCCAGTTCTCCAGCCACCATCTCAGACCCAGGGTGAGCTCCCAGCCCCATGCGCTGAACTCTCTCCTGGCAACAAGAAGAGCCATTCTCAAGTAGCAGGCCGCAGCAGAAACAGGGGCTTCCTGCTTTGTAATACCAGTCTTTGACCTATAAAGCAAAATACACATGCCCAGCCATATGCTCATGAGCTCTTCAGCACCATCATCTTTGAGAGGACAAATATGAAACTCATCGCTACAACTTGCAACTGCTTTACACAGAAATGAGATTTCACAGTGAGCAGGAAATGGTTACCTACATGGTAAAGGAACATAAGCCCACAAGGAGAAATCTTAGCTGAAAGCAATCCTGCAAGAGACCGAGGTATGTTTTTTTCCAGAATAGATGACTAGAAGAGTAAAGGGAGAAAAGCACTTTGACAAGACAGACCATATTTTTCCAATATTCCCTTCTGTTTGCAGTGGGTTTTTTTCGCTGCTTTTTTTTTTTTTTTTTTTACTCCTCCCCCAGTTTCCACTTCAAATGCTTCCACGTGCTGCAGTGGTGAGACACTCCTTTGCTATTTTCACAAGTGACACATAGTTGATCCTCATTTTTTAATAGAAGTTTTGGGCTTTGTTTGAAAGATGGCACCTCCAGCACACTCACAGACGAGCCACAGCAGGACTGAACACTCATAACCTTTCCAAAACAAAGGGCATCAGGCACATCAAATTTTAGCCTTAATATGCTATACATTATTTCCCCCATCTAAAAAAGGACAACACCTACAGCTGATCTGGCTGCAGTCATGGAGTTCAGAGGCTTTCCCTGGCACACAGGGGCTTTTGTCGCTCTGAAATGTTCTGTTAACATAACACCTGTCCTGTGCTCTCCCCATTGGACAAGCAGCTGGTTAGGCAACACAATAGACCTAAGTCCAGCTTAGCTTTCACTGGGTATTGGAGTCGTGCTGTACCTTGCAGGCAGTCAGGCCTCGTCCCAAGCCCCTGCTTGAATCTGAATGAAACCATTCATCACCAGGTGCCCAAGGTAGGTTTGGGAACATAGTGCTCACTTTTTAAAGAGAAGCACTGACGGGCTGATCAGCAGAGATGGGAATCAGAGGTATCATGGAGAAGTCAGGGTCAGTTTGTTGGCCTCTCCTATTCTCCAGAGGAGCCATGCTGCTTTTAACTCAAGATCTGAGTCAGTATTGAGACTTGCACCTGTCAGTATCAAGGATTTCAGGTGTGAGAAAAGAGTACTATGCCACAGTGCGTCCTCCAACAATGCCCAGCAGTCACTCTGCTAAACCCTTGCCAGTCCTGAGCGCAAGGGCAGGCAGGCACTCGAGGCAGGGTCACAGGAGGACAAACACATTTCTCCGAGAGCAGCAGGATGCACTCACCTCCTCCCAGGACAAGAGTTGCTAGCTGCCACTGCAGGACATACTTGAGGCACTTCCCCACTCCCTCAGGTGTCATGTTGAAAGAGCACATGGGGTCTCCAGCAATGGTGTCCGCCCCCAGCTGCAGCACAACTGCATCAGGGTTGAAGGCAGCATACACCTCCTTCAGCACTCTAGAGAGAAGAGAAGCAGTCCAGTTACTGCCAGCATGGCCCAGAGGAATGCTGGTGGCATGGCCCTGGTCGCTCAGGTCCACCAATGCCTCTCAGGGTTTCTGCATTCTCTGCTTCCACCCAGCTCACACCAGTTACACTACCTCTGCTCCCAGGCTCTGCTCTGAGCCTTCTACCTCCACAACAATTTTAGCTGCCAGAGCACTTATCAAAAGGCTGATGAATGCAAAAGCACCACTGATAACATGGCAGAGAGGGATCCAGTCCTCACCAGTTTAATGGTAGCACCAAACTCTACATTTACACTGTCTGCCTTTTGGCTGCAGGATGATCCAGGTGCTTTTCTGCCCCGTGAAAGTCAGGGTGGAAATCAGGGTCTGGCAAAACAACAATCCCAAACTCTCAGACACCTCTCACCAGGACAGGCCAGCAGAGGACAGGAGAAACAAAGGAAGACTGGCTAGAGTCTTACTCTCCTCTCTCCTGTATGGCTCTTGAGGCAAAACTATGAGGAAAAGCTCTGTGCAGGGTGTAGTCAGCCTGCAAAAACCAGCATTGGACAGAGACTCATGCTTCAAGCCCATTGTGGTTTTGGGAAGTACAGGCAATTACCCTCAAAAAACAGCTGGATGAGACATCCACAGTCATGCCTGTGGACTGCTTCCCAGCCAAGATAAAACTCAAAGAGATCTCTTCTAAGTCTCTTTGCAGAAGCTTTAGCTATACACAGCTTGACATCTGTGGCAGGTTATGATGTCCTTCAGCTGTGAATGCATGCAGCAGGCTCCTCCTGAGTGGGTTCCTGACCCTAGAGCTGCCTTTTGAAAGCACGTCCTCCAGCACAAAGGGGGCTGCTCTGCCCCAGCAATGGCAAGCACCAATAAGACAGCAGGAGGCATGGCCCCCGCATGACTGCCCTACAAGTTTAGAGAGGTTTCTGCCCTCAAGTGTTAGAGGTGGATGTGCTTCTACATATGCAGCCCTGCACTGAGACTCCTCCCCCCTGGAAAAGAACAAGCCCCACAGCCCAGTTTTGACATGGGCAACAGCTTGTGAGGTCCACCATCAGCTGAGGGACACATAGGACTGTCAGGAGGCAGCTCTTTCACTATCAGATATTCAGCCTTCAGCCTTTCATTCTTCCAGCACAGACAGAAGGTGCTAGGAAAATGCTTTTAGCTAAGCCCCAAGAATATGTCCCACAGTCAGAACTCAGAGCATTTACTTGAAGAAAAAACATCTAGCCCAAAGCCCACAGCTAAAAAATACTTGTCGCTTCTCAGTCTCTCCTTAGATAGACACCTGTGGAGGTGTATCTAAGGAGATAGGCTGACCTGCAGCAGAGACCCCTCCAGCCACCCACAATGTCTCTGTATATTCAATTTGCCTAAGGATTCACACAAGACTTCTGAGAACTTACAGTCTATGTTCACTGTAATCAAAGGCTGCAATAGGGGAAGGGACAAGCCTTAAGAAAGGACTGTAATTAAAAATACTAAACTGCATAGTCTCTTATTCTCTAAAATCCCATCCAAGTCAGCTGTATCAGAGCAAGAGGGCTTACGATTCACAGATCTGGTAATATTTTTCATCCTGAATGCCATCTTGAATGGGCACATTCACGCTGTAATAGCGACCTTTTCCCAGGCCAACATCTGTCACATCACCAGTGCCTGCACAACAGAAACACCCCAATTAGAAGGGAAAGCAGAGCAACAGCAAGAGATGCGTGAGGTGTCTCAAAGACAAGGTGAGAGCCAGCACGTTCAGCATGCATATGAAGAAGTCCACTTGCCACCACCAAGAAAGGTGGGGTGGAGTGACCCAGTTCTATCCTTCACCCAATTCTGCCATGCAGCATCAAAGGAACTCTGCCTAGACCTCAGCTACAACCAGAAAGAGGGAAAAGCCAAACATGTAGCTCTCCCTCTTTCCTTCCCCTGGATCATGAGAAGAGACAGCAAGACATGTCAGCTGGACATCACAGATGGGACTTGCCTTTATGGAGGCCTCATCAGTGACATGTGAACCAAATGAGCACCAACCTCACAAGTTCAACTTGCCTGGGAAAAATCCTGGTGAAAATTTGTGCAGAGAAACAGTCAAGACTTTTGAGGTGAAACTAAAGGCATCCTCAACTCCTATTAAGAAATGAAAAAAAAAAATTTCAAGCATCACTTATATAAATGACAGAGTCTGAACACACAGAGTTGCCTGATACACACAGGGCAGCAAGCAGAGAAGGAGAACCATAAGCAAAGCAGAAATGCAGATGTGGCTCAATAAATATATCCTCGGTCTACAGAGACTGAAGTTCAACTGCAGCAAAGATCACAACTGCTATGAATCTGGCAGGTCTTATGCTAATTCAGAATAGCAGCACTTGCCTGTGCTGCTAGGCCTGCGAAGCTGGGAGAGGGATCCGAGCAGGGCTCACTTGGCCAGAGTTTGGCTCTGATCAGAACCCAAGCTACTGGGCTCTCTCGCTTTTTCTGAATGCTGCTGTGGTTCAAATGCCTTTTCCTTAAAGGCAGTATTAAGACAGTGGGCATGGAGAGGGAAAAAAGAAGTAATAGGAAACTTAACAGAAAGCAAATGCAGGGAGGAAACGGAACAAAATGAAACACATCATAAAATTTAGAAGAGCAGGAAATGTTAAATGGTGTAGAAATAATGTCCCTGAAGGAGGAAGCAGTTTTAGCAAGGCCAGCTCTGCCTCTAGACTTACAGCATAAAGCCTTCTTTTAAAAGCACCCTTTACTACTGGCTGCTTCCCTGTTGCAATGGACCCTTAAACAATTAAACCCTGTCAGCAACTGCTCTGGCAGGATGGGAGACTGGGACACGTTATCTGTTGCTTTAGGTACAAGACTTCTGCCTAGACTCACAAGAGAGGTCTGAGGAGCAGCATAGGGCAAGTCTGTAAAGCAGGACAAGACATAAATGGATTGAGGGAACTCAGCCGTACTCAAAGGAGCTGAAGCCATGGCTGTTGCAGCAAGTAAACCCCTGCTGTGCAGACAGGCCTCGCCTTCTCCCATTCCCCCCTGAGTCTGTGCAGCTGTACTGTTTGCAGGCTTTGCTGGGCCTTACCATCCCCATGATGTAAATCCAAATCGATATAAAGGACACGGTCAAATTTCTGGCGCAGTCGCAGGATCCCCAAGACAGCGTCATTCACGTAACAGAAACCAGAAGCTTCATCCCTGTGAAAACAATGTCTGTGACACTGAATATTGCCAATGCAATCACCACCGATTTCAGCATTCTCACTTTGACTTTGCAAGTGTCCACCTCACAAGGGCATGGAGGAGTACGAAAACTCAGCCCAGCAGTGACCAAGAGACAGGTCAGGAACAGCTCAAAGCACGGCTGGGAAGCACAGAGAACAGGACTGCTTGTGCCAAGTGCTTCTCAACTCTGGGCTTTATGGCAGCTGGGTAAGCATCAGTCGGCTCTGCTGCAAAGAGACCCTGGTCTGAGGAGGGTACCTCTGACCACTGCACTGTTGAACAAATAAAATGTTACCTTTCTGCACCTGAGACATTTTAAAGAAGTTCAGAGCCACTTGACTCAAACCCACTCTCTCTGAGGCAGGAGGACAGTCCCCTTGGCCATTTTCCTGTGAGTTCTGGACAGGCATAGAGAGGCAGCCACTCCATCCCTGCTGTCTGGGTCACAACTCCTGGGAAGGTCCTGGCAGTGAAAGGCAGGCCCAAGCCAGTCACAGGACTGTCCTGCTGTTTTAAAGTCTCAGGCTATGAAGGTTAAGCCTCTTGCCAAAGTAACTCCCTCTTTTCTCTTCCCAGGAAAGTACAAATGGAATGTCCCACATGGAGTCCCTCACGATACAGCTCCTGGGCTCAGCCAGGAGAGAGTCCGAGCAGCTAAAGAGAGGACAGGCGTACTATGTAAAGATTAATCACTGACATTCATCAGGGACAGCTTACTTGCTGGCATCAAAGGAACAAGAAAGTTTCTTAACCCCTACTCCAGCCTCATTCCAAAGTCAAGTCCCCATCATGACTTAGCACCAGTCCACACGCATTCTTAAATCTGGCCTGGATAGCTATTTTAAAGCGAGGCTTCATACATGGCAACAGGAGTACCCAAATCCCTTTTCCACAAATTATAGTGGGATACAAGTTGCACCTCTGGGAAATTCCTCTTGACTTCCAGTCACAGCACCCAGCTCATTCTCTCTGACATTTCCTGCTCAGCAGTAGCTGGGAACAGTGAGGAGCATGCCAGGAGTGGCAGAACTACACTCACTTTCACTCTCTGCAAGTGCCATGGAGCACAGGTGTTTCCCAGTGACTCTGTTCATTTACAGTAATGCAGAAAATGGAGATGTTAACAGGTATCCTGAAAATCTGACTCAACTGTGATTATGTATTTCTCCCCTCCCTCACAGCCCACAAGGAAGCATGTCCTGGGCACTCTCTGAATGCTGTAATACAAATCTCTGAAACTCAAGGCCAAGTAGAGCAGGACACCAGTTCAGTCAAAAGCAGAGCAGTGTCAGAGCTGCACTTCAGGACCAGCACCTGGGATTCCCCCGTGCTGCCCCAAATCCACCCAGCAAAGCTCTGAGTATCACTGTCAGAAAGGAGGGTGAGACTGCCTTGAGAAAAGGCACTTACTCAGCAACTTACCTGCAACCCCAAAGGCATCCTCTGAACCAAGAGCTTCCAAAGCCCCAGGTCATTCCTACCTTTAGGACCCTGGAAAGCAACTAAACCACCAGGTAGCAGGTGTTTTTTGACAAAAGGAATGTATTTTGCTAGGACACAGGTCCTAGAATCAAGTACCTGCAGTTTGGAGTCAGTCTGGCTAGATCTTCACACTGGGCTGGCATCTACCCTGAAGCATCACACACCAATTTACTGGGGTGACTGGGAAGACTCCTTTGAGATTGGTGAGTATTAAATGCCTATTTTTTAAACAAACTCTTTGCTTCCCAGAACAGTGCTAATAGCTCAGCAGCAGCAACACTGCTAAGACTTTTTTCATTACAGGCATTTTTTAAACCATACAATCCAGACAGAATATAATAGATTTCCCAAAAGCCATCAGTTCTGCACAGAGCGAGAGCTCAGCTCTGCTGAGTGCAAGTCTCCTTTCACAGCAAGCTGCAGCTGAAGCCATTTTCAGCCAAGTGCCCACCAGGAAACGGGCTGAGACGTTGTGTGAGTACACCTTGCCCAGACCTGCTCTGCAGCACATGACAGTGACAGCACCAGCGCTGGGCAGTGACCTGCCTCCTCTCAGGCCTCTGCCCTGCCCTCTGCTTCCTTCCTCTCTATCTCCTGCCTTCCCTCACACCTTGCTTTCTCTTCCAACTAGATCATTGCACCCTGAGGGTTCTCAGGGAAGCTGGGAGCTAGGAAGCAGGGTTCAGACATCAGATGAGAAAACACAAGGGAAGACATTGTTTTCTTACTTCTTTGCATGATGCCACCCTCCAGGCCAGTTAATTGCTACTTTGCACTTGCCATCCAGCAGGCACTGAGCTGCAGTGATGGTGGCTCCTCCCACAGCTGCTGCATACTCAAAGATCCCTTCAGTGGCTGGACAGTCGTAACCTGCAGGTAAGAGTCCACGTAAGAGTCTGCACCTCAGACACAATAGGCCTTTTCCTCCAGAGGAAGCACATTCCTTTTGTTTGAGTCTTCAAGACTGGCCCAGGCTGGAGCAGTATGGAGGACACATACTGGAGAAGTTCTTGAAAGGAAAGACTAGCACTGGAAAACTTCATGGAAGAGAGTGTTCTGTGGGAGGGACCCCACATATACACTGAGCAAGAATGAGGAGGAAAGAACAGCAGAGAGGGGTGAACTGACCACAACCCCCATTCCTTGTCCCTTTATACTGCTTGAGGGGAAAAGTAGAAGAGCTGTGAGTGAAGCTGAGTCTGGGAAGAAAGGTGGACGAGCGGGGTGGTGATTTCAGTTTTATTTTGAATTCTCACTATCCTACTCCATTATTAATTGGCAATAAATTGAATTAATTTCCCCATGTAGAGTCTCTTTTGCTGGTGACAGTAACTGGAGACTCATCTGCCTGTTATTACCTCAACATGATCTTTTCCATTGTATTTTCTCCCCCACCCTACTGAAGGGAAGAGAGACTGTATCTTAGTGAGCACCTAGCAAAAAAACCCCACCCACACCATAAAAATCAACCCACCACAAAAATCAACCCACCACAAAAAGCAACAATCCAAATGTTTTCTTGCACTTAGTTCATTTAAAAATGTGTCCTGAATCAACTTCTGAGTTGTGTGCCTGGGTTGCTGAACCTACTGATTCCTCACACCAATCTCGCAAAAAAAATACTTTCAAGTCTCTTGTCAACCTGACCAGAAAAGCCCTGGCATGGTCACTGACATACCTCTTCCCTAAAAATGGACATCCACAAACTAGCCAAGCCTAGATAAGCTGTAGGTCCATGTCTATAATACGATCTTCACTTAGTTGTACAGCAGCCTCCCTGCAGCTGTTGCCCACACAGCATGATACCAGGGCTGCTCATCTTCCTGTAGCCAAAGCAGCTTCAGGAATGTAAAGTCTGAGGCACACTCATGAGAGTGGTGCAGAATCTGCACCTCTGCCTCAGCTCTGGGTCACTCTTCCCATTCCTGATACCAAGACAGTGCCCACAGCCATCTCACCTGCTTTACCTGCTGCATTTCTCAAACTTTCTTAAGTCCAGGAGGGCAAGAGCCCTCTGCTCAACACGTAAGTCACCAGACTGCTCTGCAGCTGCTCTGGTCACTACAGCTCCAGACCACTGCTCACACATGCCCTCCCTACAGCAGGCTTGCAGCAGCCAGTCCCAGCTCCAGCCCGAGGGCAGTGTCAGGGTCTTCCATCCCATTCCAGAGCCTCAGAGCAGCAGCAAAATGAGGCTGGCTCTACCCTCAGCTGGCACCAGGGAAAGTGCCAGCCTCTCAGATGACTGCTGGGGTTCAGCAACACCCTGTTAAAGGGTGTTTCCTTTCAAACCTAAGCCCAGCATCCCCCTGAGCTCCCCCCTGCAGCTCCCGAACTGCAGCTCCAGCAAAAAGCATCCTGGCCCTGGCACTCAACTAATCTCTTGCTGAAGATGTGCATCCTTACCCAGTCCATACTCCACAGACTCCGGGTGGTCATCATCCCCCTCCTCACTGACCTTCTGCAGGTGCTGCAGGTAAGCATCTGTGTGGAAACTCGCCATTTCCTCCATGGAGGCCACTTTAGGCTTGACTATCCTAAGCAGAGAGGAAGAAGGGAGCACATCAGGGCAAGAGGATCCAGTGTTCAGCTGGAATGTCCAGCTTTAACCTTTACATTAAGAGCCTTCTTTTGGCTGTTACTGTTGTAAAAGCAAACAAAACTCCCTCTTCCTCTTGCACTGGACTGTCACTCAAGTTAGAAAGCTACCCAGCTGAGCTGGAACAGGCCTTGCCCCTGGTTTGGCACTATCTGTGGTGCCCACCCCAGTGAAGAACACCTGCAGGTGCTGCCTGCATTAACCTTCCCAATTTGCTTCAAGTTTTTTTCCTCTGTTCTGCATGTTCTGTTTGTACATTCCCCACCAGATCCAACATTCAAGTTACACACAGAGGAACTAATGGAGGGAAATGCCCAGGCCCAGCACAGCACTGTGGCAGGACCTCAGTCTAGATCAGGAGCCATGTAGTACCTCTTGCATGCTATGACTTGCACCAAAGCAGAGACTGTCACTGTTCCAAGCAACTTGCACAGCACCTTCCTGGGTTCTGGGTGCTTTGCAGTATGCCTAAACAAATCCTGCAACACACTGAACCCTCCCCAAAACTTGGACAGTGGAGCATGCTCAGGCAACGCAGCACAGTTCTGTTGTTACAGGAAGAACACAGGAAGCTCCCAGCTCCAGGCTGGCCCTGATGCTTCCCACCACATGCAAGGACAAACAGTTCTTTATAACGACACCTGCAGTCATTTCCCAAGCACACTCTGCCAGAAAAAAAAAATTGTTTCAAAAAGAAGTCTCAAAAAAATCTTCTGGCTGTGCTGAACTGGAGTACATTTTTTCTAAGATGAGATGCTTCACAAGAGGGGCTGAGCCATGCCTTTCTTATTTTTCCCTTCACATGCCCCAGTGTCAAGAGCCAAATGAGGCAGGCGGTACTCTCCTGAACAGCATACAGACCTCACAAAAAGTCTCCCAGATATATTATAATGCACCAAAACAATACAGTCCCTCTCTGCATCAGCACTGACTGACCAGTGGATCTGGAGCAGCACCAAGGCTGTTACCCTACTCAGAGTGTCAAGCATGGGGGTGATACACACTCTGTAGAGAAGGCACAAGGCTGTAAGTGCTCCACCAGACCAGGAGAGTAACCACGAATTACACCTGCCACAATTACTTATAATCGTGTCCATGTAGCAAAACAAATATTTTCCCTTAATCCTGGAAATACATACTGTGAGGGCTCCTATAATCACACCACCAGCAGGTACCGTATGAAACCTGAAGTTACTCAGCACCTTCCAAACCTTAGTGGAGACTAAAACATTTCTTCACAGAAAACGGGAGCACTTACTTCATCTGGTCAAGCAAGCAATACGCTTCAATCAGTGAATGCACCATGCTGGCCTAAAGAAAAGAATAAGACTGTGAGAGCAGGAGGCACAAAGCCAGCAACCAGGGGAGCAAGGACTCGCAGACGAGGTGTGGCTCAGACTCCTCCCAGCAGCGACTTTCCCTGCCGGCTCCCTTCTCCGGCCCGTGCCCATGCCGTGTGACAGGGCCCTCCGGTGGCGCGGGCACAAGCAGAGCCGCGCACGGTTTCCCGGGAGAGGCAAGCGTCCCATCAGTGTCCGAGCCCACGGTGCCAGGGGCGATGTGAACGCACAGACAAGCCATTCCCGCTCTAACCCTACACTCCTCTCGCCGGGGCCGCCGTTTCCCCCGCTTCCTCCTTTCCTACGGCCGTGCCGGGCGCCGGCTGCCTCCGCGCCCGGGCCCTCACCGCTATGCTCCCCGCGCCCCCTCGCCCCCGCCGCGGCGCTGACCCGCTTGGGCACTTTGCAGAGGGAGTCGCAGAGGGTCACGTACTCCGGGCTGTATACGTAGACCGGCGGCGGCACCGCCGCCATCGGAGCTGGCGCAGCCGGGACCAGCACCCGCAACGCCGCTAGTCAGGGCACGCCAGCACCGGCAGTTCCGGCCCCGCGGCGTGCCGGGAGCTGTAGGCCCACCCCGCCACTGTCCTTCCCCTAGCTCGGCCGCGTAGGAACAGGCAGCCAGCTGGTGTTAAGAGGCATTTTTACTCGGGCCCCACGCAGCTCGGGTGGTGTTTATTCTCCAATAATATAATTTAAAAAGGCCTGTGGCCTGCACGCAGCCCCCCACGCGGCGCCCGCCCTGTTCAAAGAGCCGCAGCTCAGCAGGTGCCCGGGTCCCCCCAACACCCGGCAGCTCCCACCGGGTCCCTCGGGTCAGAGGCAGGCGCCAGGCAGGGGCTCGGGCCCTTTAAGGCTCCCCTGACGGGAGCAGAAATCGCAAAGGGAGGGATTAGCCATGATAGGAAAGATGTGTGCTAATGTCTTTACAAACAATTCCAAGGGTGAGGGTATGGGTGTTAACGTCCTAGAAATGGGTCTTAATGTTTCTACCCATTTCAAGCCACAGGTTACAAAACCTACACAGTTTGACTCCTGAAACAGACAAATGGGTCCACACAAGCCTGAGTTTCTGAACTTTGGGAGAAAATGACAAGCTCAAGGGGAGAATACGTGGTAGACCGTTTGGGAAGGCTGTACCTTCCCAGTATCTCAGCCAATGGGCTAAGGAAGAGGCAACATGCGGCCGGGAGTTTAGGATAAAACGACGCTGCACTTTCTGAAACCTAGAGAGAGAATAGCCCACAGGCTGATGTACCACTGGACTCTCTCCCTTTATTTGAATAAAGTTGCAGGACTTCTCTGTCTCCTTTATGGACACTGGCTTTTCATAGCATGATCTTCCATGAAGCCACATGTACAGAAGAGCTGCTGTGCCAAGTGACCACCTGGCTTTGAGGCCAAACCAACCTAGATGTCAAAAAACACAGGCACCCACAGAGGAAAACATTTGGCTTTGGAGCCAGCTCTATCCACAGAGGAGCGGCCGACTTTTGCCTGGCAGCCGCCCCTGTGCTCGCACACAGCCAGCCCAGGGTGCACCACAGGCTACATGGGCTGAGAGTGGTGTTGGCACATGGCATGGGCACTGTCACCCTGACAGCTCAAGAGACAAGTTCAGCTGATGTCCATCACCCTCAGAAGGAGCTCAGACTGTGACATCTATCTGTCAGAAACCACATCTTCTGTGCTTCCTAGAGTGGATGTGGCTCCTCAGACAGAGCTCCCATGAAAACACACAGCCATCCAGGCCTCTGGGTGCAGGGACTGCCAGAGCCTTTCACTGGGAACCATGGCAGAGAACAGCTGTGTTTGGTGTGGCCAAGATCTGCCCACCCTCAGGGCTCAGCTATGAGAGGATGTTGAAAGATTAAGGGGCATAAGGGAGTCTGAGAAAGACTCATAGAACCAGGCTGTGCCCTGCCTGAAAGCAACAGCCACCCCAGAATACACAGGTTCAAGGGGATGCTGCATCCTCCTTTGCAAAGTGAAGCCAGTAAAAGGAGTGGGTAGAGGCAAACCCCTCCTTGCCCACCTTGCTTCCCCACATGCCTCTGTGCAGCAAGTATGAAGCCTGGAAGGCCAGGCAATGGATGATGTGGATGTTAGTCCATCTACACCAGAGGTGTTGCCATGGCTGTGACACCCCCAGACCATGTCCACCTGTACAAGAAAGATGGGTTACAGGTGTAGGTGACTCCTTTCTGAGGGTCCAACGTACCATACAGACAGCCCTCTTAGTGAAGCCTGCTGCCTCCCTGAGGCCCAGGGTAAGCACAGCACTAGGACACTTCCCAGTCAGGTTCAGCTTCAGACTGTTATCCACTGCTGCTTTTCTATGTTGGTGGCAAAGAAACTGCAACACACAGTCCAAGGGCAATCACAGGAGACTTCAGGGCCTGGGGATGGTTGGTAAGGGATTCTGGAAGACAGTTTCTTTCCTCTGTCCTTCCAGTTGTGGTCAGGGACATTGAAAGAGATGGACTCAGTCTGCTGAACATATGGCTTGGTGGCTGATGTCACTGCCACAATTTCAGGTTTTTTAATACTTTTTTTAACAAGGCATGTTGCTGTTAGATGGGATCAACCTTTCCCAAAGGGAAAGAGGATCTTTGCTCAGAGCTTTGCTCACGGACAGCTGTAAACCAGTGTTGGAGGGGAACATAGATGATATCGGGCTGGCCTGTGACAAGCTGTGGGACATTGCAAGGTCAGAGGGTGCAAGTGAGGGTTCTTGGCCTGTTGCCCGTGTTGAGTGTACTAGAGCACACCTAAAGCCTTAGGGAGGTGAAACAGGGAACCAAAAGGGAACCCCACTTCCTCCACTACTTTGTGGCATATGTGCCTGATCCTCATCAGTCCAACTGCACCACCCTGAGTGGGGGCTGACCTGCATGGTAGATGAGAGCAGGGATCTGCTATGCCCCCATCCTTCTCTGTGCCAGGCTGTGAGGAACTGAGCAGAAGCCAGAGATGAACATTAAAAGCATGGTTTTGATTGCACAGGTAACACAAAGTAGCCAGCTCAGAGCGGCTTCACAGGGCATGACAACTCAGGAACCTGTCACTTGGCCACTAGGACCACTGCCAGGGATAGAGTAGATGACACATAGAAGCTGCACTGGCATGTCCCAGCCAGCCAGAAGCCCTGTACTAGCAGCCTGGAGGTAAAAGGGATCCTGGCTACCATAACCTCCCCAGCTCTGCATACAGGATACCCATCAGGGGATGATGGGCTGCCTGCTTCCAAGGAGCACAGCTGTGGCTGGGCTGGACCATATTGATTTTGGATGTGCTGGGAGAAAGGCTCAGGCACCATACCCTATTCCTCTAGCAAAACTTCTCCATCAGCAGCAGGAAAAGCAAGAGCCTCAGCCTGCACTAGCATAAATCCTGCAGATTTGGAATAATAAGCAGCACAGAAGAGGTTAAATACTGTAAACCTGCTGGAGGCAGGGAGACTGTGAGCTGGTCAGAGAGCATTGTAATGCTGAGTATACAGGTCTGGTCAGGGGAACCCTTTCCAACTCTCTCAAACAGACATTTTTCCAGGGGTGATGAATCAGGAGTCATGCAGACAGAACCTTCTAACACAAGCATGCTTCAAAGCTCAACCTTTCCCTTGCTCCACAGGCCACACGGGCACAGGTCAGTTTAGGACACATGCCTCCTGTGGAGTCCCTCAGAGGGCTGCTCACCCACCAAGAGGCCAGGGCTGGGAGGACAGACTGCCTTGCGAACTAACCTAGTGTTCATCTTTACAAGCTGTATGACACAACCATGCCAGAGCACCTGCAACCCAGTGAGGAACTGCAAGAGCTACTGCATGGAGCAGCCATCTGTGGGCAGAAAGTCGTACACGTACAAGGCCACCGACTTGGACAGGTAGGTCATGGTGCCAAACCGGCCGCTCGGTGCACTGTCATACAGCAGGCTGCAGATGCCTGTTGAAGGATCCCTCTCCAGCATGTGCTCATCAGCGCCCAGGGCTTTCTGGATTTTAGACAGGGAAGCAGAAAGGCATCATTAGGAAAAAAGGCAATCCCATTATCAGCTTCCATCCCAAGCATTCTCTGTTGCACTCAGTGTGACACATTGATGATGAGGAGTGGGAGGAAGACACTACAGCTTTGCTGTGTCCCATGACCACAACAGGGACAACAGGCAGGGCTCTCCAAGTGGGTGAGCCCTGCACAGGTATGGGGAATGTAGCCAGCAGCCCTGGGTGAGGCCTGGCCCCTACCTGCTCCTCATAGAAGAGGTCATTGGCTATGTGCAAGATCTTTTCCACAGCTATGATGCCACCAATGGTGTGCACCTCCATGTCCACCAGCATGGTGAGCACTAAGATAGCTTCCACCAGCAGCTGCCTGTACTCTGGCTGCGGCACACGGTTGAGGACAGATTCCACGTGCACAGCAAACTTCATTTCCCCTGGGGTCATCTGTGAGTAGGTAGAAAGAAGCGTATCTAAAGCACCGTATCACCTGCTCAATTCCTGAGCTATGCTGGGCAATCACCCAGGGTAACCAGCACACAACAACCCATGTGTCGCATTCCCCATTCACATGAACCTCCTACCTCTCTGGTTGTTGAGGAGGGAAGAACAAAGCCCTCCACAGAGAGACCATGGCACTGCAGAACAAGAAGGAGAGATCATGGTTATGGCTTGGAGAAGCATCATGCTAAGATACATAGGTCCAGTCCACAAACTTGCTCCCACTTGAGCACGGGTGCCTGCTGCCCATACACCCCAGCTCCTTGACTCCATATAGAATCACTCCTTTTCCATCAGTTCAGCATCAGCCAGAGCCCCCTGCATGGGGCTCTGCTCCCTGGCTCACTATGCTGATGATCGGCTGTGCCCAGAGCACCTTCTGCTGTGGCTCCAGCCATGCATTTGTTTGCTTGATGCATAAAGCACCTGAGCAGCTCCCCTCTGCAAGGTACAGGCTAAGACATGTCCTACAAGACTACACGGCAAGTGCATGTCCTCTACAGCTCTCCAAGGTCAGCTGTAGGTCTTGTCTCTGAAGCATATATCTACACAACATCAGGGACCAGCCCTGAGTGCCTAAGTCCCCTTGGCAAGGCTGGTGCCTGGGACCAGAGGTTCACATGCATGGAGAGGCACCAGCTGATGCCTAACTCACCTTCTGCAGGACCTTCCAGACCTTCTGGTAGAAGCCCACAGGAACACGGTTAAGGGCCCCATCCAGCCGGCGCCTCCGCTGCCACTGGCCCTGCCGGTTGTCCGTACTGCCCTGGTCTTCTAGCGGCCTTGAAAAGGAGTCCTTGCCCAGCAGCTCTGTGTGCCCAGCAGACTGGGCAGACAAAACAAGAACCACAGAGACTGCTGCAAAGTTAAATATCCCACAGGAACGCAGCCTGCTGCTGCTCAAGAGTTTGTTGTTTGAGGTTCTCCAGCCTCATTCCCAAGACAGAGCTGCTACCCCACCCCCTGCCCCCAGCAAAGCCCCACCTTACAGTCCCAGCTCCCTGCAGCCCCCCCCAGAGCACAGCTCCTTCCTGCAAGCACAAACAAGCAGACCTCACGTGTGCAGCCAACAAATACAAGTTACCAGAGAGGACCTGAGGGCGGTGTCCCCGGACTGCAAACTGAGGGGCTGAAGGAGAAAGGGAGACATGGAAATGAGAGCATGCCAGAGCAGGGCAGCAGTCACAGCAAACAGAGCAGCAGCAGCACAGATCAGGGTCAGGTCACAGGGCAGTTATCCCAGGAGTTTTGAAAGGAAAGCTGCAGAGGGCTGCACATGCCAGAGCTGCAGCAGCAGTGGGTTTGCACTGGCCTGCGCACAGGTGTAGGACTGCTACTGCTCTGCTAGCTTGCTGGTATGGGCAGGGATTTAGTCTTGAGCAGACAGAAGGACCAGTAGGAAGGTCACTGCCCACAGACAACCCTCTGTGATGTCAGGTTTCACACTGCAGCAAGTTGGCCCTAACTCTGCTGCATCAGCCTAGCCCCAGCAAGCTCTGTCTCTGATGACAAGACACGTTCTAGAGCTCAGGACTCCTCCTGGACATAGGCACAAGAGGAGGTCCTTGGCATTTGTAGCTGACCACAGGCCTCCTTCCCCAGAGAAGAAATAGCTGGGGA